AGATTTTTGGAAAACTTGTTTAAGGAAACAAGCTTTGTTTCTCGGTACTCATTTCTTAAAGGAAAATCTTAAGTTTTAAACTGTGTTTAATTATTGTACATTGCAGAACGATGGCCTTGCAGGAGCAGGTTTGGCCAGTCCCGATGAAGGCAATTGGAGCACAAAACCTTTTGACAATGCCTGGAGGAGTGACGAAATCAGGGTATCTTCATAAAAAAGGAGGCACCCAGCTGCAGATCTTGAAGTGTAAGTTGAATTAGGTATTAACTAAATTAAATGTTTTAAATGCTTGCCTTTGAGGCCATTAACACATGTCATGTTAGCAGATTGTTTAATGAAGCTGTTCTTCCTTTTACTTAGTCTGTAATGGATTACGATTTTACTGGAATGTATGTATGAAAGACCCATATTAAAAGAATTTCCTTTAATTGTTTTGGAACTGTAGATCTTAGATGATAAAGGTTGTGCTTGATCTCTTGTCTGGTCCTTTACAAGTTCGATTCTAAAGAGTAGAAACAGATTCTCAGGATATGTATGAATTTCAAATATTATTTTCTAAAAGAAGTTAGTACTTGGCTTTTTTTCTAGTTGGTTATTCTTTACTGGAAAAATATCCCCATCTCTAACTGCTGTTGTTAAAAGGAAATTTCCTCACGGCCAACATTAGGCTGTACTTAAAAACAGTAATTTACTTGGGAATCAGAATCTATTTACATGGAGAAAACTTAAGATTTTGGGTTTATTTATATGCTATTCATTTGCTACGCCTGTTTGTCCTTAACTATGTAAGTGTAGTTTAGTTATAAAGATTACTGCCTTGATAAAGGAAGGAATGTTGGCTCCTTCAAAGAAAATAAAATGAAACATTGCTTTATTGCCAGTTTTATGTACTTGAGGTAAAAGAAGAGAGGGAGATACAGTCATGGTTTTTGGGGTGGACATGACTATGTATTTGTAGCCTGCAGCTACATTTCTCCCATTTTGTTTTAAGTTGCGTTCTTACATTAGTTTACTCCTCTAGTAAAGGAGCACAGTTGGAGGTCAGACCTGCAGTCTCTTAGGCTTCTTTTGAAGTTATCAGATCAGCTGCCTCTCAAATAAGGGAAGCAGATACTACCCTTAGTCCTGAAACTCTGTGAACAGACAGCTTTACCACATGGCTGGTCAAGTCAAGAAGCTGTCACTTAACTAGTTTGTACATTTTTATAATGATTAATAAGGTTACTAAAATCTTAAACAATAATTCTACCCAAGTTAAGAGACTCTAGTTAATGTATTGTCTTTGGATTTTTATTTTGCTCATTTTTTTTCTTTATCTTTTCAGGGCCATTGAGATTTGTGATTATCCATGAGGGATGTATTTACTATTTTAAGAGCAGCACATCTGCATCTCCACAGGGTGCATTTTCTCTGAATGGTTACAACAGGTGAGTGCCAAAGAACTTACTTAACACCCAAGCTCCTTGATGCAGGGATTTACGGCTTTCATTTCCAACTAAGTTAAACTCAACTACATTTGTTGTTTGGGTTAAGCACTAATCTCATTCCAAGAGGATTCCAAGAGGTGTATTCCTTTCAAATTGTATATGTCACGTTTCCCGCGCTTTGCAAGTGCATGGCCTTCATCTTTTGTAATTTAACCAGTAAGGCTGTTAAAATTGCAATAGGCTTGCTCTTGTTACTGACTTAATGCAGACTTTGCACATGCAGATACATGTGTATTCTTTGAGACAAATCTTTGTTCTCTAGTGATTTCAATGATAGTCACAAAAATAGAAAGGAATATTTATGGAGTTACTGATTCAGTAATACTAATTAGTGTCAAAATTGAATCAGCTACAGGAGTGATAAATGAGAGAATACACGTGCAAAATGTCTGACTCATTGCGCTATACATTATAAATTTCAATATTTGCTTTTTAAGTCAAAGACAAAAATAATGGCTTTCAAGTTAACCACTACTGTCAGAATCTGAGTGCAGCATATGTACAAGGCCTACTAGTAGAAGTCTAACCTAAGTTTAGGAAATTGCTGTTATAATTGATACTAAGAAACAACAAATGAGAGAGAGAGAGAGAGAAAGAATGTAAAGAAATATCACATTATTGGTCCTAACCACTACAATTTTATTGTTTTTGTAAACCATGTATGTTATTCTTGTACTGGATAGTGTTCTCAGCCTTTTTGAATAAGGAAACGTCTGTTGTTAGATTGTGAGAGCTTTCTAACTGACCACAACCATGGTATATTTTATAGGAATGCAGTTGTAAACATTGTAGCTAATTAAAGATTCAAGATTAATTTGTATAAGCAATCTGTACTGTAACTTGGCCATGACATTAGCATCTGTGATTACATTAGTGTAAAAAATACAATGGAATTTGTAAATGCTAGGGACTGTCTCACTTGCAGAGACCTTGGTTGGAATTGGGACCAGGTCTTGGTTAGTATTATGCACAGATATTAGGAAGAAATTTTTCACTGTGAGGGTGGTGAGGCACTGGAACAGGTTGCCCAGAGAAGCTGTGGATGCTCCATCCCTGGGGGTGTTGAAGGCCAGGCTGGATGAGGCTTTGAGCAACCTGGGCTAGTGGGAGGTGTCCCTGCCCATGGCAGAGGGGTTGGAACTAGGTGATCTTTAAGGTCACTTCCAACCCAAACCATTCTATGATTCTATGAAATGCACATATGGGGATTTAGGAGATGTTTTCCTGGGCTTGGGAGTTATTTTTGGTAAGGCAAAACTGGCTGGTAAAACTGCTTTCAGTCAGAGCTTTATGACCTGCAGAGCAGAATTAACTTCATAGATGAAGGTTTTTATGTATTGGTTGTTCTGTTTCTCAGGGTTATGCGGGCAGCTGAGGAGACAACATCAAGCAATGTGTTTCCTTTCAAGTTAGTTCACATTAGCAAGAAGCACAGGACGTGGTTTTTTTCAGCTTCTTCTGAAGATGAAAGAAAGGTAACTTTCTTCTTTTGCAATATAATTTTTCTTGAAGTTGAAAGCAAACCTTGGACTTCCCTAAAATCTAAATGAACTGGATGCACAGCTGTCATTGACGTTTTAATGTAGTAAACGAGTTTTAGTTCAAGTTGTAATTTAGGGAATGGCTGTAAATGACATACTAGATGTCATGGTTTTCTCCATATTGCTTGTTTTATTTTTAGCCAAGGAACAAATATTTGTATTTTAAACCTTTGATAAAGTATGAAAACTGTTTAGTGAAATCTCTCACCCATGAACTTATTATAAACAAGTACCTGCCTTTAGAAATAACAGCTTGAGATTCACAAACCAAGTGAATATTTTTTTCAAGTTTAATATTTTAATATGTTCTTATAGCATTTTAGATAGTAAAAACATTTTGACTGATAAGTCCTCTCAATGCATATATTAAGTCATGGATAAATATTATTTCAGTGCAGGTTCCTTACACAGTTACTCTGTTCTTACAGAGGACAGATACTGCGCATCTTTGTTTAATGATTTAAAGAAGGATATGTTGAATGTTGTGTTTTTATTCTTATTTAGAACTGGATGCTATCCCTGAGGAGGGAAATTGATCACTACCATGAGAAGAAGGAAACAATAACAGAATTCAGGTACCAACCCTTAATCTTTATTTGCTTTTCATCCCTTTTGCACTAGCTCTTGACAATGGTGTTTTAGGCTCTTTGCACTTACGAGTAATTTACTGTTAAATAAAAACAGGTGCAGTAAGGCCCAAGAATGAAAGGCCTTCCTAACACACAGTTTAAAGAATACCAAGACAAAAATAGATCTTTTTACTAAGAGAACTTTAAATGTCAGCTTTGTCTAAATCAAATAAAAAAATTTAAAAGGAGAGCAGCAACATATCTGGCTGTTAATTGGGAAATAGGAATAAATTGTTTCTGCTTTTACAGTGTTCCTTTCCAGTGCTGCAGTCCTGCTAACAGGCATGTTTTACTGTCCCAAGACCCATAGCACAGTGATGCAGAAGATACTCTTGTCTTTTCTTTTGCAGTGACTCTGGTTCTGATGTGGACAGTTTCTATGGCTCAGTAGAACGTCCTATTGATATCAAGTATTCTCATCATTCAGCAGATAATGAAGGTGACAAATTTAGACACTAATAAATAAGATTTATTTGCTTATTTCTTCTGGATTCTGCAGGAACTATTCCCATAGGTTAAGCAAACTGATCCAATTTGCAACTATAAACTCTTGTTTTGACAAGGTGTGTAGTTGTTGTAAGTTTAAATCAGAGAAGCAGGTATTCTGTGCCATAAACCATTAGTAAGAATAAATTGTAACTAAAGAAACTCAGGTCTTTCAAGGAGGTGTCTGACACACTAATAATGCTATTTAAAATTTTTATTATGCCTCCATGCTGGAGAGTTTGTAGATCAAACAAAAAGGTAAAACTTTGGAGCATGTCCGTAGGTCATAGTCTAGAAATATAAAGTGGTCTTTATTATGATTAATTGAATATTATTGACTGTAATTTAATATAATAATGGGATTTTAGTCACTTAAAATTATGTTCTGAAAACATGCAGAGGCAATGCAGTAGAACTCTGTGGAGCTAGTTACTTCCCATCTCGACTGTAAAATTAATTCACCTGTCCTGCAAAATAAGCAGTCTCTCACACTGGGATGTTGTTGGATCTGTGTTGTGGTCTGTTTAGTATGAAACAGAATTAATCATCCCTCCAGTTCGGGAAGATCTTACATTAGGCATAGGATCGGCCTATGTGAAACACATAGAATAACATTCTTCAATTCTTCAATGGCTTTCAAACTGAGTAACTAAGGCTCTGAAAATCTCATTCTTAGCATAGCCTTTTTTATTCAAGGTTTGATACCTGTTCATCACTGTAGTTATTTCACAGTAAACAGTTCTCCCTGAGTGCATTTATTTTTTAATTAGAAGTGAGGACATTACAGAAAGCCTGTCGGGCATTCACAGCATATTTCAGCAACTGAATTCCTAGTCAATAACTGTGTTAGTAAAATCCAACATGGGAAGCCTTGCCTCAAGATTCAGCATAGTCCCTTCACTAGGCATTTTCCCATCTGCCCTTTCAGAGTTCTAAGGGCAAGGTTGATTGGACCAAGTATCCTTATTTCCTGAAAGGAAATTCCTGACTACTTTTTTGACTAGTACAAAAAGTCAGGAGTGAGTCTTTAGGAAATCCGGTTCAATTGCTGTAAAGCAGAGGAAAACAGACTCATCAGCATTTCATGCAGGACTGTAGTTTAGTACTTCTGTATTTATGGGAGGGCAGGGTTGTATGCAATACAAATTATGTTAAGAGGCCTAGCAGGAGTTTAAATTAGGAAAATTAGAAGAGCTAACTGATTTTTATCAGATACTCTTACCATTTTTTTAATGCATTTATCTGAGGAAATACTGCATATTGTCCTTCAGGCTCCTGTCATAGTCAATGATGTAAAACTACTGCCTAGAAGTAGCATGTTTTTCATGTCTTGATTATGCTGACTTACAGATAAAGGCAATATTGAAACCATTTAAGCCATTTATTATGATCCCTTTTTTTTGTTGCGAGAGCAAGGCAAAAGAATTAATTGTTTTGTAGATCACTAGGTTTGCTTAGGCTTCTGTATTGCAAAATCATCAATGTTTCTCTGTTAGGGTTAGGTTTGGGGGATTATTTTTTTTCCAACTGGTTTTGACAGTGCATCGATGTAGTTGTGTCTCTGCAACTGATTGAAATTTTTCTCAGGAAGGCTATAACACTAGAAAGTGTCACCAGAAAGTAAATTTTAACTTGAAAGATGGGAAAAATTTAATGTGCAGTGTAGTTCATCTCCCACTGTTCTAAGTGATGGCTTTCTTAATTGGCATTAAAATTTAAGGAAACACCTATTCTAAAGAGTAGAGAGGTAGATCCAAATTTTCAATTGTTTTCACCTCTTCTTAAAAAAACTTAACTGAAAAATATATGTTTATTAAAAAGCAATAAGTACTCAATACTCTTTCTTAGTTCCAGGAGTACTTATCAGAGTCTGACATATTCATTTTTATCTGCAGATTATGACCAGGAGGAAGAGGATGAGTCTTACTTGCAGCCAGATACTTCTGACATAGTAAAAGATGGTATGTGATTTCTTCCATTCCTTTCACAGAAGACCCCATGAAAGGCCACCAACGAAGGCAATATTCATGTAGAATGCCAGGTTATTATTTTGGCTTGGTCATATTTTAAGCATTGCAGGTGGTAAAATAACTGAAGTAATGCGGAGATATCTAATCTTGAGGTATTTAGGGTCAAAAGATCATAGTAACAGCAGTAACAATTTACAGAAACTGTTACATGCCTTGAAGGGCATGTTTTCTTGCAGGCCCTTGCCCTGGGAAGACCTGTATCTGGTTGTCAGTCTGGAGGAGGGGTAATGCTTTTAATGTAGTCTCTTTTTCTCCATTTTTAGCAAAGGGAAAACTCTTTGCAAAGTCATCATAAGCCATGCCTGAATAAAAATTGCAGGAGTTTACTACATGTAACTTTCAGAATTGTGCTGAAAGTTAAATGCTTATCCAGCATTTTGGGTACTATCAGACCAGATGCCAATGAAATATCTTAAATCACACAGAAAATAAATTTGAAAAGTCTAATTTCTTGACATACTGTGTTTCCGCTCAGTGTGCCATGGTTTTTGGACGTTTTCTTTCTGTAGATATGGTCCTGCCCCCAGCCTACCCACCTCCACCGGTTCCTCATGTCCGAAAAGCTGCGTACTCAGAATCAAGGGCAAATTCCTTTGCTGGCAAATCCACTATGCCAGTACCACCACCACCTCCTAAAAGAAGCTTACCTGATATCAAACTAGAGGATCTCTTAAACGTGAGAGAACCCCAGTTACAGTGCCGAGCTGAACCTAATCTAAAGACTCAATCCTCAAGCCGGAGACTAAGTGAACAGCTGCCCCCTGTACCCCCTCTACCTCCTTTCAAAAAGCCTTTGTCTGTCAAAGAATCTTGCTCATTGCCTTCAGAGCCTCTGCCTCTAGCTCAAGTTCTTGCTACTCCAGAAGGATGCGAGAAGCTAAAAGCCTTAAACCTTTCACCACGAACTCCTCCTCCGCTACCAAGCAGTAAACCCAAGCTGTCACAGTTTACTGAAAAAACAGTAGAACCCAAAGTGCCAAGAGAACAAGGCAAACCTGGACTGTTTGTGCCACCAGTGCTCCCAAAGCCACCTGTGACAAGCCACCAGCCCCCTGTAATCAAGCCTAGACCAGAGAAGTCTTCATGCCCCCAGTTACAGTAAGTATGAAAATACAATGCACTATTAAATTTTTCAGTTGTGTATTAGTTAACTCATTGACAAACATATTTCTCAGATTCACAGTGACATCTGTTTCTCTTCCCTGCACCATCCCTCTCTTCCTCACAGTGTTGTGCTTTTTTGCCTCCGTATTCATTATTTTAAAATTTTGCAGTGAGTTGAGCTTCTGAAATAGTTGAGAAAGAAATTCTATAGATCATTTGTTTTCAGGTCTGTCTTAAAGACTTAAAAGTCTTTGATCACAGTGAATAAGAAGCCTTTATGTCAGAACCTCAGTGAACTGCAAAAACAATTTTAGGCTTCTGTGGAGGTAGAATGAAATGAAATGCGTTCCATTTTATATTAACATCAGCTCTAGTAAGGGGTGTAGAAGGGATGTAGAAGTGAATTGGATGAAAATACTTTTGTCCATTGAATCGTTTAGCAGCTCTGAAGAACAAGTAATAAACTCTTTAAAGACAGTGCAAGGAAGACACTGATAACTGGAGTGAGTCCAGTGGAAGGCCACCAAAATGTTTGGGATGGTGAGAACAGGCTGAGAGAACTGGATTAATTCAATCTTTAGGAAGGCAAATGGGAGATCAGTGCTGTCTACAAGTACTTAATGGGTGGGTATGGAGAACACAGAGCAAGATGTCAGAGATCTGCAGTGACAGAATAAGACACAACAGGCAGAAGTCACAACCTGGGCAATTACAGCTAGATATTAGGAAAAACTTTTCACCACGTGGATGGTGAAACACCAGAGCAGGTTGCTGCAGAGAGGCTGTGGAATGTTCATCCTTGGATACACTCAAAAATTGACTGGACACAGCTTCCTGAGCTACTGGATGTAGTTGGACCTATTTTGTGCAGGAGCTTGGACTAAATGAGCTCTAGAGGCCCCCTTCCAACCTAAAATAATCTCTGATTTGGGGGCTAAACTGAAACTTGCTCTTCAATTCTCGTTTTATTATCGCTTCATTGTTTTGTGAGTATTTGTTGTGTTGTCCTGAGGAGATGTCCTTCAGTTTTTCTTCTGTTTCTGCCAGGAGATCACCACCAGATGGACAGAGTTTTAGAAGCTTCTCATTTGAAAAACCAGCACTACCTTCCAAGCCAAACCGACCTGATGATGATTCTGATGATGACTATGAAAAAGTAAGATCAAGCAGATGATCCATTCTCAAATAATATTTTTCTTGCTTTCTATACTTTTGGGAACATTTTAAATGTGTATTTCCAGAAAAAAACCAACCAAACAGAACAACAACTTTCTGAAAACATGGTGCTGTGTGATTTTGTTTGTTTTTTGCTTGAGCTTTAAGGAATGCCTTGAGAAATTCTGGATTTTAATATTGGATATAAAGGAGGAAGAAGCATAAAGCAAAGATTAAATCACCATTAATAATTACAGATACTGATGGTTGTAGCTTATTTGCATAACAAGTTGCTAGCATTTTGAGTTGTCATTGACTTACATGGTGATTTATTGTCTTCATTTTTTTACAGGTTGGGCTGCCTGCTTCAATATTTCTTAATACCTCTGAATCCTTCGAAGTTGAAAGGTAGAATGTGACTTTAAAATAGTTCCTTAGAATCCCACTGAAGTCCAAAGATCATTTTGATAGGCACAATTTGGTTTTAAAAACACAATAAACATATTTAAATTCCTTTAATGTGGAAACGACTTTTTAGGGGAGCTAGTACAATGCTCATGTATCAATTTAAAGTGCATATGTCCTGGGTTAAGCAAAGTGGTTTTGCTCCATTTGGAGAAGGATGTTCTGCCAGGATGCTAGGTGCGACAGAACTCCAGATCTTCTGTGCTGCATTGTTGGTTCAGATGCTAGAACAGTGAAATTCTTTCACCTGTTGTTGTACTATGAATTATTACAACCAAAATAGAGATTTGTAATAAGAATTTTAAGAATCTAGGCATTTTACTTGTCTGATACAGAAAATGCTAATATATGTAATTGCTGTATTATTTTTAGGACGTTTAAAGCTAGTAGCCCACGGGGACAACCACAAAATGGATTGTACTGTATTAGGAACTCATCTACTAAGCCTGGAAAGGTAACTTGCAAGTGCTGAATCTACTCCCCAAAACCCTTTTTGATTTGGAGATACTGTATCTTATATGTGATAAAGTACTTAGTAATTTAGATGTGCTCTTTCCTTAAAAGCAAGAAAATCTGAGACAATCATCATAACTTCAGCGATTTTTTTTTTTTTTTTTTTTTTTGGCTGTATTGTAACTAATTCCTTAATAATACATTGACTTAGAGATTATTAGCATAGACTGAATATGTTGCATTTTTGTTCTTGAAGGTATTGGTTGTATGGGATGAATCTGCAGAAAAAGTGAGAAACTACAGAATCTTTGAAAAGGTTAGTAGCTGAACTGTGTGTGCATGTATATATGTGCATGTATACCTGTGTGAATTTCATGTATATGTGTGTGTATGAAGTGTGAACGTGTATAGGTATATATTGGAACTAACAAATTAAAGTCTAAACTTCTTCCCATTCTTAAAAGTAAAAATAAGCTGATTTACAAATATCTGGTCTAGGATGAGAGTTTGAGTACTCACATCTGGGCTTTCTAGTTGCTGTATCATGCAAAAGCCAAACAAGCTGTAAATGTTCACATCTAAATTTCAGCTCCAGTCAAATCCTAAAGAAAGGAATATTAAATTCCTGAGTTTAATTTGGACTTATTTGTGTAAGTGATTAGTTTGCAAAGCAGTAGCTTGCTTGAAAGAACTTAGTTCCAATTATGATATTCTGGGGCTTGGTTTTTTTTTTTTTATAACATTGAGTTGTAAAAATTACTGTCAATGATTGCATGTTTTTGTTCTGCAATAGGATTGCAAGTTTTACCTGGATTCAGACATCATGTTTTTGAACATGGGAAGTTTGGTTGAATACTATAGCACTCATGTCTTACCTAGTCACGACAGCCTGATTCTTCAGTGTCCTTATGGTTACTCTAAACCAAGGTGATGTGACTGGCATAACTCACTGACGCTTAGGACAAATGGGTTCCTCACTGCCCTTGAATTAAACGTGGACTCATGCCACTGTTGGACATCCCATTGTTTGCACACAGAAACTGAGTCTGTTTCAGCCATTTATTGTCACATGAATTGTATAGACTCCATTAAATGAACTCTTGGTAAAATCTTACTATCCAGATCAGTGGATTTTATGGTCTTTTCTTTTAAAAAGATCTGAACTGATTATGCTGTGAAAGCTGTCCATGATGCCTACACCTTTTATAAAACTGCTGCTATTACTAATCTCCTTGGACTGTGGAAGATGGACACAAACAAAGACGTGGCCTGAATACAACCAATACAGAAAAGGGAAACTTATGAAAGTACGTCAGAATTCACTTGTGACAGGGAATACTAATACCCTGACTTGAAGGTATTATTCCTCAAGTCAGCACTGGTGCTCAACTGAGATGTTTTTTATTACTTGTATAGTTGATGTGTAAATATTGAAGACTTCTGTGCAAATATTTTGGTTTACTATAGGTAAAGATGATCAGGAAATGTGGCTTTTATTTTTAAGCCACCTCATAAATGTAACTTCTGATGACAATGTCTGCAGTAATCAATACCAGGGTACTATCCAGCTGATACAGTTGTGGCATCCCACTCATTAATGACATGCACTTCAGGTAGGTGTGGAATAATACTGACTTGGCTTTTGTGGGAGCCCCATTACTTAGTTCTAAACTGGAAGTGGAGGTGCCACTATTATTTTTAATGGGTATGAGAAAAGGGAAGGAACTCTTTAAGATTAAGGGGTACTCTAAAGATTCCCTCCCCCCAAATTCTGACTAGCAGTTTTATCTCATATGGCCATCATCAAAGGTGCTTTAAAACAAAACACAAAAAACCCCCCAAAACCATGAGTATGATGCTACTATCACTCCATAAATCTTTGTGGTCAGTCTCGTAGGATCAGGTTGTCAGCCCATTGAATTCTGTTCTGTTCTAGAGCAAAATGTACTGCCCTAGTCTACTTTTTGTAGTTCAGCAAGAATTCTTCCATTATTAAAATCTCTGCTCAGTTTGCAGTTGCATGCAAAATAAAATTTGTTTTTAACATACTATCAGCACTATCAGACTATCGGTGATAGGCATTAGCAGGGTGCTTGTAATATTTGTTCCCTAGTATTCTGGGGACAGATAACCTAAAACCAAAGGCTTGATATTTATGCCAAAATTACCCTATTCCTAAATTTCAATAGAGGAGAAATTTATTTTAATGACCTTTTAAGTAACTTTGTTTATTCAAAAAGTACTGTGTTAATGGTCTCATCTCCAATAATGTTTACAAGACTTGTAATAATAATTACAAGTCACTCCTGAAACAGGAGAAAGTATCTATTTTCTCTCAGTCTGAATCTGTATCCATAAACTTCATTTTTTCTATTACCCTTTCAAAGTTTATACATGTCAGTTTTAATCTTGTTACAGTTAGATGGTCTCAACTTTTAAAAACATAAACAAAACCATTACAGAATAAGAATTTTCTCTTTATGAAAACAGTAAACCAGGATTTAATCCCTAAGGGATTTTCCTTAGTGAAGAGATTTAATATTAGGACCATATATAGGAATCGAGGCAAGAAACTCTGCCTCTATATTTTGCTAGAGACACAGACATACATGATAATCAGCCTTTTGATCTCTGTTCCCACTATAATAGGTTTTATGTGCAGGAAAGTTGGTAAAGAATATGCAGTGCTTACATTTTGGATTCAGTTAAATATTGGATATTTTAAGGTTTTGATTCCTTTTATTTTAACTTAGTGTCCCTGTGGTTCACTACCTTGGTATGATCCACTTTGTAAAGAAGGCTCAGTCAACAAAGCATTTTAAAATATTTTTGGCATATAGATACATGGATATCAGAGCAAGTTCTAGTTTCTTGCAGTATCTACGCATCCTGTTTACTGAGTAAATTATTCTCTGTGTGGGAATAATTGACTTCATTGTGTCACGACAGTCATACTTACAGTATGCTATCTTTGGGGCCCCAGATATTTAATTTTTTTTGCACCCATATACTCTTAAGATTTTTTTAAACTGTAAAAATACTTATGTAATCAAATACATATAAAACGTAACACTGTCTTTACCTGTGTAATACAAGTTTTGCAAATATGTAAATGTTTGTGTTAATTTCCTTTTTTATATAAATGTATATATTTCTGAAGTGGATAAACTTTCAATGCCAGTTCACCTAATTTTGTGCAGTCGTCTTTTACCTCATGGGTGTGTGTTTTAATGCTTTTGTTTGTAGCTATGTTAAATAGTGCTTGATTCTTCTAACTATGAAGTTAGAAGAATTAGTTTTCAGCCCCCTTACAAAGATCTTCATGTAAGCAACACTATCAGAAATTTGGCATTCTGGTCATCAGACAGTGTGGCTGGGGGTGGAAATTACCCATTTTCAATTTACTTCTAAGTTTCCTGAGTGCAGGGTTAAGGACTGAAGCATTCATTTTATCTACGGATGCAAAATGCAAGTATGACTGTACTAAAAGAGCATCTCGGAGGAAAAGGAATGAGCAACAAAGCCAAGTCTCCAAAGGTGTTCTTCAGGAGCTTGCTTGGGAAAAGAGGACCTTCCTATTTCCTGGTGCCTAACAGCCCTTCTGCTCAGAAGTGTCAGTGTAAACTTGTAGGCTTTCACATCTTTTGACATCTCCAGAATTCCAGGTAAGAGGTATAGATAAGGACGTGCTTGGTAATCCCCTCATCCCTCCAGGTAGAAGGGTTCCAAACAAATCTGCAATCACTTACACTCTTTTTTTCCAGGTCATCGTGCTCCTACATACTATTCTAGTCTTTTTTTATGCAGAATTAGATTAAGTTAAATTTCTGGTGTTTGTAGGGAGGAAAGGCAGAGCTAGAATGCATGGCTCATAGTCTGTCTCCTGTACTTCTTGCTAACCTGACTCAACTCTTCCCTTCACCACAAATCAGCCTCTTGCACAAACAACCTACTACAAGCTTCTTAGCTTTAAAATAGTTTGTGGAGAAGTGTAAAGGCAGTATTTGGTATGCCAAAAAACTGTAGTTTGTGAGTTTGGTAATATCCAAGTCAAAATAATTTATACTAGTTTAGAAAAAGTCTTGCCTCTTCTGTCTACAGTTCCAAGAAGAAGTGTTACAAGTGATATCTGGAGGGGGGATTGCTCTTCTAGGGAAAAAAATAGAGTGGTTTTGAAAGTAAGGGTTTCAACAAAGGACTGTGTATCATAAAAAGTGATTGATACCCAGACAATTTTTCTATAGTGAAAGTGCTTTGTGTCAGCAGCTTAAGTATTCCCTAGTTCAGAACTTCAGTTTTTACAAGAATGCAAATAAGCAGTGAGAATATTCATGGCCTCCGGTGCTTTATGCTTTGGAAAGTTGGGTGTAAAGATTTCTGAAGCTTTAACCGTGATTATTTTGAATGTGGGGCCATCTGCTGGTCAGCCTGCTCCGTGCAGGGTTCCGAGCAATAGGAAAACGGCCACTAAGCATGGGCACAGAAGTCATCTGGGTAGAAATCAATCCTTAGTGACGTCGGATAGAAGCTAGAGATTAAAGTTGAACTTGAGGTGGAAATTCGATGGGCCAGGTCTTTGTAGCTTAAGATGTCTTTTGGCTCATCTTTCTCATGTAAGTAGCAATGTTTAGCAAAATTACTCATCTGAATGTCTTTTAACCTAGATGACAAAATAATAATTGAAGTTTATATTCTTGTGTTTAAATTACTCTTAAAATATACTTGGAGGTAGGATTTACATAATGGACATCTGAGCACAACCTAAATTATCAACATAATGAAGCATTAAAGAGTTGTTCTGAATGGTAAATACTTCACCTAGCAGCAAGCAAATCGCATGATGTTGCAATAGTTTGTGTCTTACTAAACAGTCAACTCCTTGAAATCAAGGAGGTTTTTTTCTAGCAATGGGAGTGCTTGAGATGACCATGAGTGCAACCTCTTAAATAGGAGAGCTCGTAGTTCTTTTACTATAAATACTCAAAGTACCAAAATACCAAATAAATACTACTAGAACTTTGAGTAAATAGCAATTGAGCTCACTTTAAAACTGGATGAACCAAAGTTATTAAATTCATTGGGCTTAGGGTACATAGTAAGTCTCGTAGCATAGCCAGCCCCAAAACCTATTCCTTCAGGACTTCCATTCCTGTATCTTGATTACAGGGTGGTCCTTACTGTCCCGCACCTGCACCTCCTTTATCACAGTATCTAGTTACCAGGGAAATGGGTAATCCAGCCTCTCAGGTTCATGACATGGCTCTAATGGGCATGTAATCTTAGAGCTATCAAAGAATCGTTTTTAATGTAACTTTACTCATGCAGATCTCTGCTGGAGTTGGTTTGCGTAGAAATGACAGTAATAACTGTTTGCAGGATTAGATCGCTGGATATGTAAAACCAGGGAAAAGCATCTAACCCCTCTGAGTTACCACTTTTTCCGCCTTTTGACAACCTCTTCTTACTAACTCCCTCTGTTTACAGTCTTGGCACAGTTGGTTCTTGTATTGGGAGGCTGACGTGCACTTAAATGCTGACCTTGAAAGCTTTCTGCATGGATGGAGTTCTGCAACCATACTGAAGGCCAGTGATGTGAAAGGTATGCCAGAGCAGCACAGAAAAAAGAAGGGTCTTTTCCATGTAAACTTATTAAAGGGTTTTATTACAGGACTAATAAGGCAAGATGGACCAGGTGGGGCCTCACAGGCTGTTTTAGGCTCCAGTGATTATGTTGTGCTTTAATTTACACTACGCTAACATTCATGCTTATTTATTTTTCCAAGTAAATGCCAGCCACGCCCTAACCTTGGGAGTACTGCTGAAAATGTGTCTTTTTAAAATTAAATATGTTTTAAAGGAATTCAGAATTTGATATTCTAATATTACAAAGTGTCTCCTAAGATTAATTTATTTTCTTCTGTGTATAATAATAATAACTAAAATATTAAATACTTGAAAATATTGTCTTATGCTTCTCAGCCCTCCTCACTACTTTGAACTTGCCCTGGTATCTTTTTCTTTTTCCTTCCTGTGTTTTACTCTCCTGGGTCTGTTTTTAAGTCCTACCTCTTCAAAAGTTCTAACTTCTGTTAGTGGCACTTTTCCTTCTTGTACTTCTAAGGATGAAGATGTTATTAGAGAGCCACTAAAAACAATCTCAGCAGCTTTAGTGACACTGGAATTAGTATAGAAGCAACTTGTAGAGAACATGCATCTAGAAGGCACATGATGCTTAGGAAATCATAAATGTTGCAATTAAACGAATCAGCTTTACTTGGAAAAGGATTTTGGGAGAAACAAACCCAAACCTCCACAAAGTGTGTTGTAGCATTAAAAGAGAAAGCTTGATTTCCTTTGGCTAAGGCAATCATTGCACCTTTGGTTGTGTTTAATTAATTAACTGTTATTAACCAGCTTGAACCACGAAGATAGATTTACATTTGATCTCAAACGTATATAAAAATTTCCCTATGCCCCCCATAGCATTTAAGCATAAAGTCAATATTTTTCAAACTTAAAGCTAAAGTGACCTCTCAGTTTAATAGATTGTCTAAAATCTGTCAGCATTTAGTATGTTGCTGTTCCAGCTGCTCTGCCCTTTCCCCACCTGCTGCTTCAATTCTCTTCATTTTTATTTTTTTCAGCTCAAATAAACCTCAGTTTTGTGTTTTTGTTTGG